TGTAATTGCCTCAACTGTCAAACCAGCCAAAGATCCTCACATCACTGCTGTTGACTAGACCAGTATGCTCTCTCTCTCTCTCTCTGTCTCTGTCTCTCTACGTTGCACATGCAAAGCATAATAAATAATTGGATGAGATTTCCTTAAATATGGCCTTAGTCTGTGTGATATAATACCTTTCTCAAGAGCTGTTATGAGGCTATGGCCACGGATACTTCCTGTAGCGTTTATTACAACAGAAGCCATTTCCGATAGTTTGCCACTTTTATTTTATTTCTGTCTGTCGCTCTGTCAGTCGTTATATTTTATCTCCATACACTCACAAACTTTCCCCACACTCACACTTAAGGCATCCACTTTACGTGACTGTCCCAATTTGGCGTTGCAGTTGGTGTAATTCCATCAAGAAACGTTCTGTAGTTGTCACTTCTTTTGAGTGTGTAGTTCCAATCCATTACACTTTTCTTCTGTCCAGCAGGTTTCTCCTCACAGTCCACCAGCTGTCATTTGTGTGTGCAAAAATAAATAAATATGGTGTTCATACACAGTCCTGGCTCTGTAAATACTAAACAAACAAAGCGGATTATATGGAGCAAGAGAACATTATTCCAGCCAGGACAAGATATATAAAGAGAAAGGAAGGGAGAGCAAGAGGGACAGTTAATGTTGCAATAATACATTTTCTAAAGGATATGTATTTGTTTGAAGTTTAGATTTCTACACTCTTCTCCAGAATTTCAGACTCTACCTTTAACGTCTGACTGCTGCAGCATACACTCATACAGTTTTTACAGATCAATAGGTCAGGCCCAATGTGAATTATCCGCTTTCTACACTCAATGTATCACTTAGATGCTCAATGCTGCACAGCAGAGAATGTTCCTTCACCTTTAATTCACCTCACTTGATTTCTTCTCTGCGGCTCTAATACCTTTACATTCCTCCCAAATTACATTTAGCTCTGACGAACAAAAAACTCTGACATACTGATGCTAGAAATGGTTTCATTTGTAAAGGTCTTTTCATTAAACCAACCGAAGTACACAGCACAATGAAGTAATCTAGTCTCATGACCTCATGTATCCATTTAAGTAGCAGTTGCAAATTAGTGGGTTAAGATGACTTCATTCAGATGCAAACTAGCCTGCTTCAAGCTTTTTCTTTGATCAAGTGACATTATCTTGACACACCTAATCTGCTCCGCTTGTTGCAACTTAATGAAAAGATAGCCTAAAATCCAATAAATCTGCATTTGGAACAAATAGAATTACCTCAAACAATCAGTTGATGTATTTTAAAAACCCAACACTTAACTGAATGGTTTCTCAAGGTGAATCGTTTTTTAAATAAATTAAAAACGACCAACTAATGAAACTCGAACATCCTGAAAATTAAAACAGCAGAAAGGATCCCGTTGGAACCGAAATGTCTTTATATGTCCATTACGCGGGTGCAGCCAAACAAGGAAAAAACACGACCAAGGGAGCTTTTTTCTATTTGCTAATGTTTGGTTCTTCAGATCGAAACCCCTGAAATTGAGAATTATTACTCACCAAAGGCCTGTGAGGAGAATATACATTTTCTGAAGGACATTAACAGAGGAAGCTTGGTATGGTCACACCCAGACAAAGTGCCTTTGGCCGAGGCACTGATGCTTGTTTATGTCTCTCTGTTGATTGGCCACAGACTGAACGCACGTCATACATTCAGTATACCCTTTGGCTCGATACCTCTTCCCTCCAAGCTTCAATAGGGATTGGTAAACCAACCTTATGAAGTTCCTTTGAACAAAGCTTGTTGGGAAAGTACCCTTATGGTAAATCAATTGTTCTTATATGATCACTGTTTGATTACTATCTGAGCTTAACCACTGATTGTTTTAATGACCATTATAAGTTCTGGAAAACAATTAAATCACTTCAGAACAAGAAGGTTTCTAGTTTCCCTCAAAAACTGAAGGTCAGTGATTCTTTTATTTCAGATACAAATGATATGTCTATTGCCTTTAATGCTCACTTAAAAAATGCTGGTCACATTTTTGATGAGCAAAGTCATGACTCTGCTTGGTCGTACACACAGCCATAGTCAAGAGATGAACTCCCCTGTTTTTGATTTCGCTTCTTTCTCGGTCTCTGAAGTCTTACACGGTTTGCACTCAATTGATCCTAAAAATTCTGCCGGGCCTGATGGCCTAGATCCTTTCTTTTTTTAAATTGCAGCTCAGATTATAGCTCAACCAGTTACTGATATTTTGAATCCCTCCCTGTCCACTCACACACTGCCAGCTGTGTGGAAGCAAGCTCTTGTATCGCCCCTCTTGAAAGCTGGTGATCCCACTGAGTTGAATAATTATCGTCCTATCTCAAATCTTTCTGTGTTATCAAAGACTCTTGAGTCCCTAGTTTCTACTCAGCTACAACTTTTTTTAAATTCACACAACATCCTTAACCCTATGCAATCTGGATTCAGATCAAAGCACAGTACTGTGACTGCCAGTCTGAAAGTCTTAGACGATATTAAGGCTGCTTTGGATAAAAAATATGTTTGTGTTGCATTGTTTATTGACTTAGCCAAAGCATTCGACACTGTAGATCACCACATTCTGTCTAATGTTATGTTGAGGTCTCGTTTAGGTCATAACGCCATTTGCTGGTTTCAGAGTTATCTAACCGACCGTACTCAATGCGTCCGGTTGGGTAGTTCTGTCTCTGACCCTGTCACCTTGGAGAAGGGAGTTCCACAGGGCTCTATTTTGGGGCCCTTGCTCTTTTTATTATATGTAAACAATATTTGTAATCAGATGCAATTTTCTACCTATCATATGTATGCTGATGACACTATTGTATACTCATGTGCTCCTTCTCTGGATATGGCCATTTCCAATTTAAAAACTGATTTTATCACGCTGCAGCTAATGCAGTTGTTGAGTTTGTCGATACATACAAATATTTGGGCTTTTGGTTGGACAGAAATCTAAACTTTAAACACCACATTGAAGTTCTAACTAAGAAATTGAAATTCACTCTTGGCTTCCTTTATAGACTTAAATGTTGTTTTTCAACTTCTTCCCGTAAAAGGTTGGTCTCTGGCTTATTCCTGTCCCAGCTTGCCTACGGTGATATAATTTATAAAGCCATTTTAGGTCAGCTTCCACTGTACATATGTGCCAGATTTGCTCCAGTTTGTGACTCTTACGGCCCGTCCACACAGCGGCGTGCGTTGAAGCTTGCCGGCGGGCGTGTCTGAAACTCGACCAACAACCAATCACATGAATCTCCCGCCCCTAACACACAAGCAGCGGTTTGATTGGCTAGAGCTTGTACTGGCATATGATTCGAATGGCTGACGCTTCTGCCGAGGCTTCAAAAGTTGAACATTGCTCAACTTTTGCAGCGAGCCACGCCAGCAAAGCTCCGCTTCGCTTCCCACAATGCAGTTCGGCAAAAAGTGACGTCACCCCATTCAAAGTGAATGGGGAAGCTTTCAACGCAGGCCGCTGTGTGGACGGGCCGTTACAACCTCAGATCCAGTGTCTGGATACGGTTCCAACTACCTGCTGTGCGGACTGAGGCTGAAAAAATGAGTCTTTTTCATTCTGGTCCTTGATCTTGGAATGACCTTCAATCAAGCCTCAAACTGATGGCACTTATATATAAGTAGCCTGTTTTAAATTGAAGTTGTCTGAGGTCCTTACCACCAGCTGCTCTTGCAGTAATAAGTAGTACCTTTCTTACTGTCCCAAATGTGCACAATGTAGTGACTGCTTTTCGTTTTGTTTTTTTTGTTTACTTAGTTGTGTTCTCTGTATTTGATATGTCTGTGTTATGTGTAAAAATGAGTAACGTTGCTTCCTTCTTGGCCAGGTCAGCATTGTAAATGAGATTTTATCTCAATGCTTTTTATCTGGTTAAATAAAGGTTAAATACAATTAAAATGTTGTTGTACTCACTCTTCATATATTGTAATTCTGTCTGCTTTGCTGAAAGTGCTCTTTCTTTTTATTTCAGTTGCCAACATGCCCTTGAGCGAAGCCCTGTGCTTACCTAACACCACCAAGCTGTTTAATCATCTCATATTGTTTTCAACTTTGAGTCGCAGGCTTAGTTACTGACCCTTTACGCTCCAAGGGGAATGATGCCAACCATGGCCGTAGCTCTTTGGAGCAGTGCAGTATAACAATACTTCATTCTTCATATTCATTCCTGTAGGTTTTATGAAGGACAAAGTAAAACATGACGGTTAAAATGTGAATGAAAACTCAGTTGTTCTTGAATAAAAGTGTCACTGACACATAAAAGTGTCCGTGAACAATTCCCAACATCACTGTGTTGTTGAGCCAGAATCCCTGAGAGTGCCCATCATGTCACTGAGAACCTTAAAATCAGTTTATTTAGCCAGTTATAGATAGGTAGATTCAAATTATCTTGACTTACAGTAATTCATTTATTAAGAACATTGTGGTGTTGATATATTCCTGGCTTATACAGACAATTGTAATTGCATGATTATATGTATGTCATTTTGAGAGGTTCTATTTTCATAGAAGTCACTGTAACCATTTTCCCAAATATGCTTATTTGGAAACAATCCAACACGAATAAGGGAGCCCAAAAATAAAACATGCAACAAATATGCATTTACTAACTATTTTGGTTTTAAATAGTGTATTCAAGAAGCAGCATGTATTTTTAATGTTTTGCTTCATGTAACTCCAGAGGGGTGTACTCCACGGAGGTCTTTTGTCATGACTAAACATTGACTCAGGGAGTCTTGGTTTTCCATTTGTTATTCTAGCTTTACCTGTACAACCATAGCCTTCTTCTGCTTTTGATTGAGCAGCAGGGGGATTGAGAACACTGTCAATTCATTATTAATCCTGTTGTAATAGTCGAATGGTAGCTCGAGCATCAGGCCAAAACCCAGATATCTGTTCACTTTATGTGTCTGCAAGTGTATTTTCCAGGTTTTCAGCATGACTAAAGTGTGTTTATTGTTATCAGGCTGGAGTCGCCAACTCGCACCCTGACCCTGGAGGCCCCCAGAGGGGTGGAGGTCAACGCTGGAGTGGGAGACTTCACAGCGTCTTGTAGGAAAGACCTCCTCTTGCAGTCCTCAGAAGGAGAGGTGAGTGTGTTGACATCTGGGGCTTGTGTTTGCCCTGACTCCAAAAGTCCGACATTATACAATCAAATAAATAAATAAACACAAGGATAATTGTGTCTTATTGTTGAGTAAATAACAGTGTGTGGTTTAGAGAAGAATACAAAATTAGAAGGAAAAAACGATGAAACAATACAGATTTCAGTATTCTGAGCCCCTACTCTCTCCCTAACTGACAGCAACAAAAGTCCGACATTATACAATTAAAATAAAGAAGTAAAAACAATAAGTTTGGCTTGATATTGAGTTAGAAAAAGGTTGATAAACGCAGTGAGAATGGATCTGCGGAGAGCATTTCGCCGCGATCCCAACTCGTCTATTACCAATGTTCAGGGAGCTCTATGCAAGTCAATGGGACACCCTGATAGTTGAAACTCGACACTAAAGGGCCCCCCCTTGCGTTGGAAATTGACGACAGGGACCCTGACATAACGTCAACATAGGCCGAGTTGGGAGTGAGAATGTGTTGGTTTAAATACAAGGGACAACACAAACCAAAATAGTGAGGTTTGTGTGCATGTGCATTTACTTGTGTGTGTCTTCAGAATCTATGGCACGCTATAGTGTTGGGCCGCTTCATTAAAGTACCTTATTAGGCTAATGAGCGTCATCAATCCAGGCGACCTTGTCCTCCTTTTCTCCCCTCCTCCTCTCATCCCTCCTTTCTTCCCCATTTCTATTTGGGAGAAGTGACTTCATTAAAGCTGGTTTGATGAGGTTCCCTGTCAGTTGCTGCTGCTGTGTTTGTGTGTCTGTGTGTGTGTATCATTGTTAGCCTGCTATTCCACTGTCAAGCTCTCTGCATAGCAGCCTGCCACGTTGGGTGAGCACAGAAGTAGACATTATCCTTCTGTGTGTGTGTCCGTGTGTTGGCATATGTGTGTGTATGCATCAGCCTGCCATGTTGCGTGTCCGCTGGAGCATGGGTTGTCATTAACTCAGTAATTAACAGAAGAATGGCCTCCTCGTGTACCTCGCACTTACTGTCATTGTCAGTCACGCACAAAAACACACACACACACACACATACATACAGACACACACATAGATATAGAAGTCCCTGAAAACAACAGAAAAAGTATAATGCTACGAGTCTAGACTCTATCCTGCCCTCTTTCAAAAATATTTTTTACCTCTGGCTTATTTGTAATCAAATAATAAGACAGAATGTTTTGGTGGAAATTCCACACTTAATCACCTTCTGGTAAAATATGGTGTATTTTTCAAAGATATTACTTATTTGCATCCAGGCAGAATGGCATAGAAAGGCATTGCCCTTTAATGTAGATGTACTAAATTAAACAAAATACTCACAAAAATTATGAACCTAACACAACAAAGAAATTGTTAGATAGAGACAATCAACTGCTGGTGCAGTTACTAAGTTTTCTTGTTAAGTGCAATTTCGTGGAAGTATTTCCATTTGTTGGGAAATGTGGCACTTTTTGCTAAAAAGTAGAAAGATTTTCTTCATCAAGTCAAAGTACTTCATTGCATATAATTCAATATCAATAGCTCATTAGTGTGTCAGGTGGATTGATGTATTATCATCCAAGCTGCAACGGATCAGTCAACAATTATTTTAAAATTAGTAAATCTCCATCCCACATGTTTGTTAAAGTACTTCACAACCTTGAAGCTGTGGATGTCATGCAAAACAACGTATACTTGGCTTTTGTCATACTCAATTAATAATAAAAAATGGAATATATCCCACAGAATCAATTTGTATATAATCCAAGTAATCGAGAACCAGGAAGTAGAAAGTAGTATCAAAGTCTGTAGGGTGTCAGTCAATTAGGTGGGTCCAAAATCACTGGACTTCAACCCAGCTGTTATTGATGTATTAAACTTTACTTCCATGCTTAGCTAATGCCACTTACATTAAATATTGGGAATAACCTTTTTTTTATAAAACATCATATCAGGTTATGTGCAGGATTACTCTTAATCAGAGGTCGCGTTAACCGAATATTTTCCGTCTATTTTTTAACAATGACGGAAGAATCTGAAAGCAGACTCGGAACAGTGCCAAAGTTTCCCCGCGGCGAGGCTCCGGTGTTATGCCGTGTTATGCATGCCCGCCAAAAAGGAAATGATATAGTTTCCAAACCTAACTTTGCCGTACAAATCATTGAAATGTCTGTGAATTTTGGCTTTACGCCGTGCGCGCTCCCGCGAGGTGCAGTGGCCGGCATGCATAACACGGCGCTAACAGTTCACGAGCGTGCAAAGCAATGGAGGCAAAGCGACGCGACAGAACCACAATGCAGTTCGGAAAGCGTGACGTGCCAGTACAAGCTCTAGCCAATCAAACCGTGTGCTTGTGTGTCCGGGGCGGGAGATTCATGTGATTGGTTGTTGGTCCACGCCAGACACGCCCACCGGTAAGCTTCAACGCGACGCTGCCGTGTGGACGTTACGTTACGATCCTGTCCGTCAAAATGACGGGCAGTGAAAAAGTCTAGCGCAACCTCCGCTCTTAATAGAAGTAGAAGAAGTACTTAAAACTCAAGGCGAGTCATGGTTCCGAAGATTGGGTAGTGTCTTCTAAGGAAATCATTTTGGGGGCAGTTAGTTGCCTGAGTGTGAAGGTCTGACAGGATTTGTTTTTATCCTGTTCTTATGGTCCATGTCAGGCACTTCCCTTTATGGAGGGCAGCAATCACCAGCTCAGCGGTGCTCATGACATATTGAAGTGTGTCCTTCAGCCGAGCACAAGGGGTGCCACTGTCAGAGAGGGACAGTTGTTATAATTCATGTTGGGTTTGCAGCTGTGGTTGCCTTTTTGCATTGTGGCGTGTGTGTCTATCATATTGTTATGGCTCCATTTGACTGAATACCAAGACCCTTTGCCTCTTATTTAAACTTCCCTTCTCCTTTCCCTATCACTCCTCTCACATTTCCATATTAACTCTCTACTTGTCATATCTCTCAGTCTCTCCCATGTTCCCCCATTTTCTACTTTCTTCCTTCTTGCCTCTAACTCCTCTCATCTCGTACCATCTCCCTACCCTTCTCTTTTGTTCTTTTGGTTGTTATTTTAACTTTCTTCTCCTAAATCTTCTTCTCATCCCTACGCCCCCCGCCTCTCCTTCTCAGCCTCACAGTCCTTCATCTCTTAGTAACCCAGCCTATCTAATTAACTTTCCACTGCCAGGGTTATACATCACTGCGGCTGTCACTTCCCAAGGAACAGGGAGGGGATTACAATTTTTACCTCTTTTCAGTCATCGCGTTCTTTCTCTCTCCCTCTGTTTCATGTATTATTTTGTCTCTGGCTGTTTTGTTCATCTACTCTCTCTCTCTCACGCTCTTCCTGTGTCATTCCTGCATACATAGATGTCCCCGTATTGATGGTGAACAATAGCACGAAACAGTCTGTAACAAGGATTGTGGGGTGGGACCTTGGAGAGACTTGGAAAAAATGAAGGACAAACCCCACCAGCCCTACGATGGCACCCATTGGCCAGATAGAACAGAACTAATAAATGAAAAACCTCTGTTCACTTAGGTAGAGCTCAAATACAGCTCAAAATGTCCTAGAATAAATGCATTTGTGATCTTATAATTCTTATTCATGTGATTAACTTTAACAATCAAACTGTCAAATATAATTAAGACTTGATGTCAAACTGCGTTCTAAACAGTAAAGAGTGAGACCTCTGTTGAGCTGGACCACAAGGAACTTACAAGAAGATTGATATTAGGGATGCCCCGATTGACGAGCTACCGATCAATCAATATACAATATCAAGATACGGTACTGGTAGATTAGCCTGAATTCCTATAAACGTTTACATATCATTTTGATACTGTCTCACTGCTTGATTTAACACTTCCTTGATTCATTATATGCAGTTCAATAAAACGTTATAATTTCACATCACCTCTTGCAGCTATGCCCTTTTTTAACCCCATCGAGCTCTGCATGCTCCTGGCAGATATACAGATTTGTCCTAACCATGACCGGAATAGCTAGGAAAATGACTGCCAACAGTTTACTAATTGTTCAGACCTGCATGTATGGCATGTTAGACATTTTCACTGCACAATCAATTGTAACATAAATTATATTTAACTACAGAATTATTCGATTGTCCAATGGCAAGCTGTTGGAAAGCTGTCTTCATATTCCCAAAAATAATGTGGACTCAGTATTTTGTATTAAGTGATTCAATTGAGCGCCAGCAACTTAACTTATATAAATAACAATTAAACTGGTAAATGTTTTTACACTATTGACTGATCCTCCTACAGTCTAGACTAGAGCACCACCCTGCTTACCTGTCAAGTTATAATAAGTCGATTATTTATGACAGTTGTTCCTGCTGTCTCAAACTCCGCAAGGATTGTGGGAGCTATCCTTTTTTGATCAGTGGGAAGGGCAGGATTCCCACTGCTAACTCTTAATCTAGTGTTCATTTTTGCTTTTTTCCTGGAAAACTAATGGTTTCCCAATTTATAACGGTTTTAAATTGCTGCCATGTGCGTCGAATGGTGTATAAGACAAGTAACATTCCCAGCAACAGACATACAGTTTGTCCCCTGCCTATAGCCAAAGTCACAGATTAGATAATTAGCGTTGTCCTTTTATATTTTATTTTTTGTAATGTATTATCAACTGCAAATTCAGAGATGGAAACATTACAAGATTCTGTTTAGTCTGCAAAGTGCCACGACTTAGCACAGCAATGGTAACTTTGCTTATATATTGTGTAATCAGATACCGCTTCATTTATGTGCAGCGCAAAAAAACATCTCACCCACTGTCTGCAACGAATGTATCACCTCCCTGTCTACCAACACAGCCGTTTGAAATAGGTGGAAATTCCTCCACCCCTAAACAGAAAGGCTTATCCAAATAGTGTTTCTTTTTATCCGTTCTCATACAAGCTTTTCCCCGACCGCTGACACCATCAAATGAACACAGGAGAGCGGATGACGGAGGATAGAAGGAGGAT